TAACTGCAATCAATATTTCATAAGAAGGGCTGGTGGGGGCGGGTGTGGGAGGTTAGAGACATGGTCGTCGAGGTGGTTTTGTCAACTGTCTTGAACAAGGATGGTGGTTTAGCCGGCTGTCAATCGATACACCTCTTTCATTGCCTCCCTTTCGCATCCCCCTCTTTTTTTCCCTAAGTCCTCTTTAAAATGATAATTAGGAAAAAGTACCGATCGCTTCGGCTAACGTTTTTCCCGTTGCCACCCTAAAAGGGATTTTTTTTAAAATAATCTTTTATCGATAACTAGATAGGAAGGAACAGAAGTTATGTAAAGCTGTTAGCGTCTTCAATATCCATTCGATTTAACACTATGAGAATGAAAACAATTATAGGCGATACATTTTTTTTCTATATCTTCCTGTAAATTTCTCCTAAGACTTAAATTAACCAGCCAGTTTGTTGAACCGTTTCTAATAAGGGCTTTATTTCAAAGTTTCTAAGAAGACTTAAGTATTCGTAAAACGACACCAATCGCGAGCTTGGGATTTTAAAGAAATTATCCATCTTGAACCAATTTTGGGTCACTCGTTCGGTCCGTCTTCACTCGTGTGCTTCCTACTCAAAGGCGTTTCGGCAAGGATTTCACTGAACATAGCGGATTACAGAAACGCGTCTGAGTCGTTCAACAAACCCGCGAGTGAAGACGGACCCAATAATTGGCCCAATGCCGATTCAGCATGAGTTCGCCGACTCGAAGACCTACACCCATCATCAAGTCTACATTTTTTTATTTTTTGTCATGGGCATCCGACAGCTTGGTCATTTCAGCCCCGAAGCTGTAACAAAATACCGTTACACACTCGATATGCAATCACACCAATAAATGCATTCATACCTATTTACATTGATCGCACTCATACTGTTCGGTAGTTAGAGTTCTCGATATTCCTCCATCCTATTCACTACAATAAACTATTCTAATTTGGGGTCGATGGAGTATTTTAAAAGTGAGATGCGGTCTGTGTGATAGGTTTCAGAAAAACATTTTCTTTATCGTGCCAACGTTTCGATCTTTATTGAGATCATCTTCACTCAAAGTGTTTGTCTTCTGTTGAGTGAGTAGAAATACTTTGATTGAATATAAAAAATATATTTTGCATTGTATAAATTCACTTTTCCACATCCTAAATGTATTTGTTAAATGTAAACAATCTTTGTAAATCCCAGGCCCTGAAGATGATCTCAATAAAGATCGAAACGTTGACACGATAAAGAAAATGTTTTTCTGAAACCTATCACACCAGACCGCATATCACGATTTCTGAATAATTATCGATTAATCTACTAATAACAAAATATTTTAAAAGTTTTCAGCCGTAGACCCAGGTCACGCACGCAACATGAGGGGCGATGGAGATGCTACATCGCCATCAGCCCTTCTCCATTCACACCAATAAATACATTCACACCAACATACATGGATCGCACTCACTCTGTTTGGTAGATGGAGTACTCGATATTCCTCCGTCTACCTGTTCCCTGTAATAAACTAATCTAAATTCGGGTCAATGGGGCATTTTTATAAAATTTCCGCCAGCACCCTAAGTCATACACATAACCTGAGAGGCGATGGAGATGCAACTTCGCCATCAGCCCCTCCCCATTCACACCAGTAAATAAATTCACTCATACAAGACACAGAAACATATAACTTCTACACACAATAAAAAAATTTCCAATTCCCTTAAAAAGACGGATAGGGGCCCCTGAAACTCGCTGCTGTGTCCCTCTTTAAATCTGGCGGCTTGCCTACTCGTGCCCTGTAGGGAGCCAAGGCACGACACGCTTCGTCTATGTGGGACACGTCGAGCAACATAGGGGACACCTGCGGGGGATCGGCCCATCAGCAAGTGCTCATGTGTCAACCCCGTATGACCTATTCTTAATCTGGCAAGAACTATTCCTTCTTTACGGCTCAGATCCTCGGGGGCCGTCAGTAGTAAATTTATTTTGTAAAAATACGATACAGCTTAACGCCCAATAGCCTTTGGGTGTCGCGTACAAGGAGTCAAGCCATTTTACCTTTCTCCATATTATTCACAATTAAAAATCCGTAGCCTGTGCCTGGATTTGAACCCAGGGCCGTTAGCTTGACAAATTCAAACCGGCCACTGCGGTCCCCGAAAATTATTATTATTTGGTATTATCATTACTACATACTAATTACCATAGAATTAAGAAGAATGTTTTTATAATGTACAATATAACTTCACGACGTTCATAATTTACCTATCTTCGCGTGGTTGGTCTGAAGACGAAGAAACGTCGTAGAAAAACCCAAAAATGGACTAAAAAATTAATTTCGACTTTATTACGTAGAGTACAAAAGCAAAAAACGTATCATTTCTACTTACCCTAACCATCCCTTAATTTCTACTAATTCCATGAATTTCACACTGAAAGAGTCTGTGCTATTTTAATAGATTTTCTACATACAAGGATAAAAAGATAAAGCTTTACGATCACATGGGGCATTTTACGGGTATCTGCTTCTTTGATATGCCCATTTTTACAGACCTTAATCCATTGTCCAGTGGACTTTACTTTACATGACTTTACAGTTTTCCTCGACTTTTGGCTGTATGTTTGAGGTCTTTAGGGCTGGTTAGGCCTGCGTTTTTATCGTTTTAAACCCGGCGTGTCAGATTATTAATGTACCCAATGTACTCACTGACCATCCGAAAAAAGAAAAAAAACCTGGTTTTTGCTGAAAAAATGGCCAACGTTGGAAATGCACATTTTCCCAGCCTTTTAAGTGACTGAAAATGACACGTAGCGCAGGGCTGTGACTTAAAAGGTTTAGAAAATATGACTTTCCAAAGTTGGCCATTTTTTTCGCTCAAAAACCAGATGATCGGTTTTTTAATGGGCACTGTATTTGGGTAGGATATGTGTAAACCTACCTTTGAAGACCAAAGCATTGAGGATTGGATTTTGCTAATTTTCTTATAATTTAGTCATTGCGATAATTTATAGTTGATAGGGTTCTTGACATTTCGCCTTTGATGCTCTTGTATTATATACATTCACGCATATACATACATTCTAGCGAACCATTTAACTAAGAATGAGCCTATCAACAAACTTGTTAAACGTATTTACAATATTAAAATTACCTTCAAAAATCGGAATGGGGGATTCTAAGATTCGATGCTGTATTTGAGCTTATTTCTCATATATGTATATAACTTTTTTTAACATCCATCCCTACGCAGACCTTTTTGTCAGACAGGAATTATTTTGGGGTGATGAACCTGTAATACGGTATTGAATTCCCAACATTGATGATTTGGTCGTTACGATCATTTAGAGTCGATTGTGTTATGATATTCTGGATGCTCTTGCACTACATACATTCACGCATATAAATACATTCTAACGAAACAGTTAACTATGCATACTAACAATGCATCTATCAACAAACTTGTTAAGTGTATATACAATATTAAGATTACCTTCATTAAAAAAAATGTATATATTTAAAAATACCTCTGTTTTTTTTCAAAAATCGGAATGGGGGACCCTAAGATTTGATGCTGTATTTGAGCATATTTTTCATATCGGGTAGCTATATATTTTTTTTTCATGTCCATCCCGCCGCTGATCTTTTTATAAGGCAGGAATTATTTTGGGGTGATGAACCTGTAATTTGGTATTGGATTCCTACCATTGAAGATGGTGAGAAGCCGAAACCTGGCTAGCCCATCAAGGTTGGTAGGCAGACCAAAACGATCGTTAATGACTAGGGCTGTGATTTATATGCAATAAAAACAGACAAATATGCACATATATATGTAAATATATTTGGTAAAAACTGCAATTTAATACTGAAAATATGCGAAAACTGCCATGAGAAAAAAATAAGGAAACATTAAATTAAAGCACATAATTGGAAAGAGAAACAGTGGCAAGAGGAACATCACATTGCTAATATTAAAAAAGAAAAANCTACTCTGAAACATTAAAATTTGACGTGCCAAATACCGATATGCCGGATATGTAAAAGAAATATGCAGTTATAACCCACTTATGCAAAAATATGCATTTATGGCAATATATGCGCAAATATTCAAAATAAATATAGCTTAAATTGATTTCAATGCTTCAAAACATATACAGTTTGTTAAAACTGGATATTTTAGTTAACCAGGAAAAATATGCAAATGCATATATTTCACAGCCCTATTAATGACCACATTGTACGATATTAAACAATATCTCCAATGCAGTTTGGAGAATGAGATAATTTAGAAAAAACACCTTTTTCACTTTTTTGTCCACGTTTCGAACTTTATTCGGGTCATCTTCAGGGCATAAAGTGTGCTATTTTTGTGGTGTCATATAGGTTTTGTGATGTCGCAACAATATCACACAAAACCAATATGACATCAGAAGAACATCACCACACTTAAGGGCTTACTGAAGATGACCCGAATAAAGGTCGAAACGTCGGCAAAAAAATGAAAATGGTGTTTTTCTAACCTACCTGTTTTTATATAAATATATTTTCAATTTCTATAGACAATAACGAGAAATATTGCAATATTTTATCTGTAGTTTTTTGAGCTTGTAACGTTGTTTTTTCGAAGCCATATTTTTCATAATATGAGCTTGTTTGTCTAATTGCATTGGAATTAAACTATGAACTAAATATTAAATAACATCGAAATCGGTGGAAGCCGACGGTTTGTAAAAAAAATCGTTCTTCTTAAGGTACAAATACTCATTTACTGAAGAATATTTTTAAATATTGTAGTTTTATTTCTTGTATTGAAGAACTTGCCTTGAAAGAGTTTTAATAGCCGTTGAGAACAGTTCTGAACGTTGCTATTGTTCACCGGCTATCACCATCAATCAGCCGGCCCTGATTGATCATCGCCACTCCCCGTGAACTCCCCCATTCTCATTTCTCCTTCTAGCATTTCGCAAACACATAATTTACCGTTTCCTTTTCTGCAGGGAGGAGCTGGGCAGGGTGGCCAACTGAAGTTTACAATAGCCGAATCTTGCGAAAGGATAAAAGAAGAGTTCAACTTTCTACAGGCTCAGTATCACACGTAAGTTATATCGTTTATGTTATTTTTATTCGTTTAACGGCCCCTTAATGAGGTTGGAACATATGAGGGTTCGATCTTGCGCGTGCTCATAAATAAATTAGCCCCATTGTGTAATGGCCCGGGAGAAGCAACATGTGGTTTAACTGTTGAATGCAATTCTATAAAATTAAAATTCCCTCTTCATTAATAGAAGCGCTGTGCTTGCGGTTTCGTAGCAATTTTCAATTTATTATGCATTCGCATTTCTTTAAATTATTTATTGTAAGCTTTTAACATGTTTGTAGTTAATCTATTTTAATATATTCAGGGGGGCGTCGGTGGCTGTAACGGTTTAGGCGTTGACACGGCGCTCATCACTGGAAGGTAAAGGTCCTGGGTTCGAATCCAGCGGCCCTGCATTCGAACCCGTCATACTTGCAAATGGGCTTTTTATCAAAAACACCGGCACCCTGAGGGTTTATATGACCTCTGTTGTCGCGAACCCTCGTAAAAAAAAATATATATATATATATTCAAGGGTATTTTTTAAACTATTTCCGTGTAATTTTAGTTTATTGATAAAATTTAAAAATATGTTATTTTTAAGAACCCCGTACTCTTAAAATTGCGTACTCTTGTGAATTCAGCATTTCCTTTGTTTCAGGCTGAAATTAGAATGTGAAAAGTTAGCCAGTGAAAAGACTGAAATGCAAAGGCATTATGTAATGGTAAATTGTTTAAAATTATTGTCTCACGCTATACTTCAAATTATAAACACATTTATTTTACAGTACTACGAAATGTCATACGGGTTGAACGTAGAGATGCACAAACAGGTAAATTTGTTTTAAAATTTGGTAATAAAAATTGAGATAAAATTTGGTTTAATTTATTTCAGACTGAGATTGCAAAACGCTTGAACACTATTATAGGACAGCTCCTTCCCTACCTAGCTCAAGAGGTATATTTTAAGTGTTTATTTTGAAAATAAGTTAAATATCGATATTTTAATTATTCGGGGATCGTGATGCGGTCTGGTGTGACGTAGGCTTTTGAAAAACATTTTCTTTTTCGTACCAACGTTTCGAACTTTATTGAGATCATCTTCAGGGCTCAAAGTGTTTGTTTTCTGCGTAATTGTGCGATTCTTATGTGTCGTGTTGAGAGTGCCAGTGAGATATTCACAAGAATGGCACAATTACGCAGAAAACAAACACTTTGACCCCTGAAGATGATCTCAATAAAGATCGAAACTCACTAGTTTTCATGGTCCGCTTGACCAATCAATATCTTTCATTTAATTTTTAGTTGAGATATCCTTTTTGCAATTTTTCTTCCTTTTTGCAATTTTTCAAATGTCGTGCAATCTATTTGATTCTCGGCGACAAATGAAATGGTCTCGGAGAGCTTTAGTGAAGATATACTTCATTTTAACTTATTAAATTTACTAGTTTTCGTGGTCCGGTTGACCAATCAATATCTTTCAATTAATTAAGGTTTTTAGTTGAGATAAAAAAAAATGGCAAAAAGGAGGAAAGTTCAAAAGGTGGCGTTTAGAAGGGAAGTTAGTGTCCGAGTGGGTCGAAGTCACGATAGCACAAGTGGTTGAGCAGCGGCGTATCTAGCCGAAGGTCGTGGGTTCGAATCCCGCTCGTGACACTGACTTTTTTATCTCAACTAAAAACCTTAATTAATTGTATCAATGTTTTTCGTAATGGAAAAAGAATATAAGCCCTGATGATTAAGGATGGCAACGATATATCGATATTTCGGTTTTTGGTTGAGATAATTTGAAAAATGGCAAAAAGGGAGGGAAAATTCAAAAGGAGTTGAGATGGGAAGTTAGTGTCCGAATGGATAGAAGGCACGATAGCTCAAGTGGTAGAGCAGTGACGTATCTAGCCGGAGATCGTGGGTTCGAATCCCGCTCGTGCCATTGACTTTTTTATCTCAACTGAAAACCTTAATTAATTGTAATATATTAATTGGTCAAGCGGAACACGAAACTAGTGAATTGAATAAGTTTAAAATGAAGTATCACTTCACTAAAGCTCTCCGTGGCCATTTCATTTGTCGCCGAGAATCAAATAGATTACACGACATTTGAAAAATGACAAAAACGAGGGAAAAATCAAAAGGTGTGGTTGAGATGGGAAGTTACTGTCCGAGTGGATCGAGGTCACGATAGCTCAAGTAGTAGAGTAGCGGCGTGTCTAGCCGAAGATCGTGGGTTCGAATCCGCTCGTAACACTGACTTTTTTATCTCAACTAAAAACCTTAATTAATTGAAAAAGATCGAAACGTTGGCACGTTAAAGAAAATGTTTTTCTAAAACCTACGCCACACCAGACCGCATCTCACGATCTCCGAATAATCATCGTCTAACGGTCACTAATCACTACGCATATCGATATTTTGTTGAATTTTAGCACCAGCAGCAGGTAGCCTCGGCAGTGGAAAGGGCGAAACAAGTGACAGTGAACGAACTCAACGTCATCATAGGGGTAAGCATATATTTTTTTACATATTATTTCCTGTGATATGCCTAGATCGATATTTGATGTTAAATTTGTTTTAAATACACAATCTTAACTCCAGTCGATTTGTTCTAGCAACAGCAACAACAGGGTCTACAACAGTTACTGGTGAGTTATTCGACCGACTTCGTCAGTATGTTTTCCTTGGCGATTTGACTTATGGCTTGTTTCAGCAACAGATCCACGCTTCTCAAGTGCCAGGGGGGCTTCCCGTCGGGCCGCATCCCGGTGCCGGTGGTGGCCTTTTGTTCGGGGCCGGAGCAGCACCACCGCCCCACCCTCTCATCAAACCGCAGGAAATCCACCCCCCGGACGGACACAAAAACCCCCAGGGAGACGATCGAATAGTCAACGTAGGAAAATGTGTAAATGTTAAATATATAACGTGGAATTTATGTTTTTTTTTTTTTTTTTTTTTTTGTATCTTCAGAGGAGTCCGTTTTCGATAGGCATCCCCGAGCAGGAACCGAAACGTCGAAAACACGAAAAACTACATTCGGCCCACGTGAGTATAATTATTTTGTTCTTGATTAAAAAAATCAACTGCAAAAACCAAATGCTTCGTTCGATTTAAAATTTTTTAAATTTATATACACTGACAGGTATAAAATTCCACCCACTTGTAATATAACTTCATTTGTACATATTAAACAAAGTTTCACGTTTTTTAAGTATTTGCCTAAAAAGGTAGATAAAACTTGCTTTAATTAGATTTTTAGTTAGCATTTCAATATCGCGTATTTCCTCATTTTGCCTAAATTACATCTAGAAGATGTCTCGACAAATTTTCTACCAGTTGGGAAATGTCTCTTTGCTGTATGTTAGCCCATTCTTCACGAAGAGTCCTTTGAAGGTCGTGGCGTGTATCAGGAAGTGATGGACGTCCTCTTATTCGTCTTTTGAGGTTATTCCTTAAATGTTCGACGGGGTTCAAGTCTGGAGAACGGGCTGGCATGGCTAAGACCCTGATGTTATGCTGTTGAAGGTACGTTTGTATTGTGCCAGCGACATGTGGAAGGGGATTATCATGCAGTAGAAGAGGATTGGCGCTGATTTCATCGAGAGTAGGCATGCAACGCATGATGTTACAAAATTCCATCCACATAGCGGTTGGCCGTCAAAGACCCTCCATGAACAACAACCAACTCTGTGCGACTCTCCATTAAAATTCCCGCCCACACCACTGATATGCGTTGAAAATGTTGGCTCTGGGAAAAATTACAAGCTTCGTACCTTTCATTTCGCCTTCTGCACTCTCTTTCACGCCCATCTGGAAACCGTAGAGGCAATCTACTGTCATCTGTAAAAAGTACAGCAGACCAATCGTCCAATGACCAGTGGCTGTGTTCTTGACCAAAGTCGAGCCGTGCAACTCTGTGTTCTGGTCAATTCTGATCCTCTTGTGTTCAGAAATTTGGACACCTCGAACTTCCTGGATCTGAGGAATCGCTTGAAAAACATTAAGGTGCCGGTTTCGCAAAATTCTCGAAGTCAAAACTCGCCATCCTGTGGTTCTGTTACTCTAGGGCTTTCAGAACCGGGCATCTATGGTAGGACTCAGTTTCTCGAAAACCTCTAACGTCTTAACTCTTGCAGAATTTTGTAGGAACCTCCGATGGCAATAGCCGCATACCTTATGGAAATTCCATCATCAGTAAGTGCCAAACCACAACAACTCTAACCACTTGAGCTATCGTGACTTCGATCCCCTCGGCCACTTCATAACTCGCTGATCATCGAATCCTGACTACACGCCATTTGTAATATGGCAAAAAGAGGGAAAATTCGAACGGTTGTAGGTTGAGATGGGGAGTTGGTGTCCGAGGGGATCGAAGTCATGATAGCACAAGCGTTTCGAGCAGCGGCGTATTGAACCGAAGGTCGTGGGTTCCAATCCCCCTCATGACACTAATTTTCCAACTCAAACAACCTTGGATTTAAAAAATAATTAATTAGAATAAATATTTCATGTAGAGCAGGTATTTGTTTGAAAACGTTCATTTTTAGTTGTGCCCATAGTTTCTTAAAACTAATTAGCAAGCGTTTTAAATTTTAACCGGGCCGTTTATCTTTGCATGAGTGATCCTATAGAATCGCGTTTCTTCAGTGAACATTGCTTTTTCCAAACCAGTTCAAACCCGAAAGATTTGAACGTAAGTACTCATATACTTTTTTTTTATTTGTTGTCTTAACTTAGTACGACCGTATAATTTTTCTGTTTGCCGTTTTATGACAACCCTTTCAAAGAACAAACAATAAAGAAGCCTTTGATTGCGTCTCACGTTTAGTGTTACGATAGAAGGGACTTTATTACAGGGCCTATTACTCCAGGGTTTTGTTGTTAAACCCAGACCGCAACCACCTCAGCCCGCCGATTCCAGGGCTGAAGTTCACTCCAGTTCATTTTCTCCTACGAGTCTTGAGTCTTATCAATCACCCGGGTGACCCTGGAGGGTGTAAATGTTGAAATTAAATATGAATAAATGGTGATATTCGGCTTTGTGTATTAGGAGACTCGTTTAAAAAGGTTTTCTCAGACATCATTCTTCAAAACGTCTGATGTTGACAAGTCCACCATCAATCATTCAATCTGTTCCCGCTTTCCATCATTAAATAAAAGGAGGGGGGGGGGTAAAATGCTCAAAGCTTAAGAAGAAGGAATCACAAAGGATTGGAATTCATTGTCCAACTAGTCCTCGATTGACTTTTCATTACAATAGATGTAATCGAGTCAAGGATTAGGAAATTAAAGATGATAAAATTCTGTTTTTGTTACGACACGATAGTTTTTTTTTGTTTCCTACAAGGGAAGAAAGAAGATATATAGTCTAAAATGACAAAAGTAATCGATGAAAATGTATGACGGTTTTGAGTCCGTTTTGTCTTTTGTAAAGTCAAGCTAGTGGTTTATAAGCAAAAAATAAAGGCAAATTTTTGATGGTTATCTCATCACTTATTTTATTATGAACTGCACCCAGCAATTCAAAAAGAACTTGAGGTAAACTATTTAAAATTATTGATACCCTCTAGAGTCTAGACCCTATTCACCACACCCTATAAGAGGAGTAAAGTCCTCCTTTATCAATTATTTCAAATTTTTTAGCTCAATCGGATCAAACTTGTACACACCAAATCCTACCACCATTTTCCAGAGAGATCAAAACGCTGGATAATTACCATAACAAGAATAGCCATCTGCTCGTACGACCAGGCGACACTGAAGGCACCTTCCGAATCGGCAGAAAAGTCAGATAGGTTTGCGATTTCATCGAATCCTTGTCAGACATTGGACTCAAAAGTAAAATTACCCAGATTTGTGTACCAAGGCAGAGGGGCAACGAAGTGGCCGATACATTTGCCGAGGAAATTTCGATCAGGGCACCTACGACCAAGTAGTACACCTGAACCCTTTTGCGCAAATTTCCCAATTTGATCCATCAAACAATGCGTTAAAATATATGAAAGGACCGCTAACTGGATACTATTAACAGCAAGAAGAAACAGCGAAACATGACTTACGTTGGTGCCAAGTCCTATGCAGGCTGAGGAGAAGGGCTGAAGGATGCATCCAAAAGCCCTTAATAAAACCTTAGGGATCTGATAAAAATAATGAATGGTTTATAATGTAAAAACGTCGTAATGAAGTTTTATTAATGTTGATTGACAAGTAGTTTGATGCATTCAGTTTGTGTTAACTTTTTATCGAATGTGCACAATTTGCTAAGGAAAGTTCGATCAGGGCACCTATGACCAAGTCGGCACCTGAACCTTTTGCGCAAATTTCCTGAAGATTAGATCCGTCAAACAATGGGTTAAAATACAAGATCAAAGGACCGCTAACTGGATACTGTTAACAGCAAGAAGATACAGCGGAACATGACTTATATTAGTGCGAAGTCCTATGCAGGCTGAGGAGAAAGGCAGAAGGATGCATCCAAAAGCCCTTAATAAAAGCTTTGGGATCTGATAAAAATAATGAATGATTTATAATGTAAAAACGTCTTAATGAAGTTTTATTAATGTTGATTGACAAGTAGTTTGATGCAACCAGTTTGTGTTAAGTTAACGTTTTATCGAATGTGCACAATCATCTGGAAATGGGTACCAGGGCAGTACCCAGCCGAGGTTAATTTATTAAGGAAAATTCGATCAGGATACCTATGGCCAAGTTGACCCCGAACCCTTTTGCGCTATATAAAATTTCCAAAAGATTAAATCCGTCAAAAAATGGGTTAAAATATATCCTTGGTTTACTGGTACACCAGGACATCAGCATACGAAACTATGCATCAAAGGACCAGCTCAGAAAGAACTTCTAAACATAGGATGTGTTACCCCACATTCATTTTTAGCAGTCTCCAGGAAAACAATTTCCCAAGTCTTATTAGTGGCAATCCCATTTTAGTTTTATTACATAGACGATCTGAGTTTTTGAGATCAATCTTTCCGCTGGAATCGAAAGGTCAAGAATAAACTGAAATATTGCCTTGCTGTTTCATTCTTCTTTCTCAGTATATGAGATCGATTTGTAGGAGAAACAAAATCTTAAGTGTTTAAATTAATTACACACCACTGATAATGGCGAAAAGTCGAAAATAATCTGACAGACCAAGACAGCGCGGATAAACAGAACAAGTTCCCAGCTGTAAAGTCATAATTAATTTGATTGTTTAAAGTTGCTTGGCTTAATTGGCTGGGGGTGCTTTTGAATTGTTATTTTGATCGCCGAACAAGATTATATATCGGTCTAACATGTAAAAGACACATCTAGATTGATAGATAAACTTTATTATGAGCTAAATCTTAAACAAACATTTACACAAAATATTGTGTACGAAGGAAAAATCTAGATCATTATATCCAAGATCAAGATATACAACATTAAACTTGTTTCAGAAGTCAAAAGGAAAAAAGAGTCATATTAAGGTGGAGGATAAGTTGCTGTTAAATAGCACTGAACATGAACCACATATAAAACAAGTTGTTTTGGCAGCATTTTGTTAACTTTTTCCCTTCGATAAAACAGGTTCCTTCTGACAGCCCTGCTTTAGAAAAAGTGTTCGTTTCTCTCAAGGCTTTGTCTAATCCACTGCTACCTCGATTGCATATTTGACTTTCTACTGCTTTTTTTTCTAATTAAGCTTAAGAAAAACTACGTAGCACGGATAGAAATAAATAATGAATAAAAACTATAGTGATTTTCTTTAAAGTCAATCTGAATTACGAATAGTTACAATAATAATTTCAGGACTCGTTTCTTACAATGCTCTATCTAATCCAGTGGGTCCTTGATTGCTTGCTTGATTTCCAGTTCTTTCCACAATTAAGCTTAAGGAAAACTGCGCGTAACAGGGATGTAAATCAACAAAGAATTAAAAAAGGTTTAGCGATTTATTAAAAATAGATTCTGAATTCCAACAGTTGTAATAATCATTTTATAAAATAACGTTTCTCGCCGGGCTTTCTCTAATCCAGTGCTTCATTGCTTGCTAGATTTCTTGTGCT